CTTGTGTTTATTAGTCTTGATATTGGTTGGAACTGCATATTTTTACTTCTAAAAAGAGTTTGTTCCATCTAATTTATGCTGTGTGATGTTAACAATAGAACCAGCAATTGAGATTTCTTTCCACGCTCCCAAGTGAAGTGCTGGAACAGTCTTGAAAGAGAGCAGTAGACTTATTTAAAATAAATAGAAATCTTGTGATGAATGCAATATTTGTTTTTCTGATTCCACTAGAATAGAAAAATATGTGGTTGGAAGTTTTTAAGATGATAAAGGATGGAAAGGAGTATCTTGACAGAAAATAAAACACTGAGAAGTAGCTAATACTTGACAGGTAATACTTGGTCCAAGAAGTGAGACGTTTTTTGTTTTGGACACTAGTAAATTTAAATAAAAAGATTCATTCTTGACCACGTGTTCTTTTTGAATAAAATCAATTCTAAAACCATTTTTCATTCACACAGATTACTTATGCTATAAGACTCAGTTGAGTTACTAGGTCACAGCAGCACTGCAATATTGAGAATGTCTTTTCAATACTTTAGCTGTGACAGCGAACAGAAAGCACTGGAGCCTGATGATATGGCAGGTCATGTGATGCCAGTGAAAGCCTCATCTTGAGGCAGCATAATATGCATGACCTCCCCAGTAAAAATGCATTATTCAGTAAGAGCAGAATCCAGAGACCTGCACAGATAGCACTAACACCCAGAGACCCAATTTGTACTACTTGGTCCAGAAGAAGAATAAGATGTTGTAATAGTCTCTAGCTAGTCACATCTGGTGGTCCAAAGCTGCCCAGGAGGATGAAATACTCCACTCTTGTCTGTTCAGGAGACTTGGTTGCCATGGTCACAGCCTGAGAGAGACTTTTCCCCTATTTTGTGTGTGTATTATGGGGTCACAGCAGTAGTGATGCTGCTATGCAGAAAGCACTATCTTTTCTCATTCATCCATTGCCATTTTATACTTCCCAATATAATTTTTTTAGGTTTCCCTTGTTTAAAATACAAGTTTGGGACTTGTGTCACTTATACTCTTTCCTACCACCTTGCTCTTTAACTTCCTTTTCCTTCAGAGCTGGAGAATGTTTATCCAAAAATTGTTTCTAGAATAAACCACTTAGCCACTGTACTCCTTTGACTGTGTGTGGTGTGGTATATTCAGGTTCACCAGCAGCTAGCAAAGCCTGTTTTGCATATTTAAGCTCTAAGACATGATTTTACGTACTATTTGTTATTCAATTTAATACCAGGCCCCTGATTTTTCTTTTATTTACTGAGGATTTATTTATCACAATCTCTACCTTAAAGTTAAAGATTTATTGTTATTTCACAGTATTTAGTGAATTGCACAGACAAAAGCAAGACAGAAAACAGGAAGATGTGTGATTTCTAGGAGCAGAAGTAGAGAAAGCCAAGCTCTCTACACTTAAGAGAACTATTTTTACATTGGGTTTGGTCGTCTTGTGTTCTGAACATTGCAGGAAGTTGTTTGCATGCTTACAGAGGCCAAAATAATATTAAATGAATAACTGCATTATTTCCAAATACGTTAATACTTTCAAGCATGTTTACTCATGCAAGTCTAGTACAGGTTGCATAATCCTTCCTCGATCCTGTATATACTTATGTACGTATGTTTTGTTCCTGAAATAATTAAATATTATAGTTTTGGGAGCTTTGCAACTGGTGGGGTTTTTTGTGTGTGTTTTTTGAAGTACTCAGTACTTAGAAAATTAATCCTTACGGTTATTATTCACTTTTGTAACAACTTCTGTCACTGGCTGCAAATCCTGAGGCAATTGAATAAAATGAGATATTAAAAGGAATCAAACCTCATCCTGTTTTGTTTTTTTTTCTGTGGCATTACAGAATAATCTATGGCACTCAATTGAGTTGTAGTGGACAAAAAATCAGTTGCATTGTTTTTTTCTGCCCTGAGTATAGACACTCTTGGTCACATAAATAACTGAGGTGATGCTACAGTTAGCAGAGATGGGTGAGTTTTGGAGAAATAACTCCTGATAAAGAAGTTTTATACACACAAATATGTGATATGAGATCCCTCAATCCCAGTCCAATATTTTTTAGCAGGTGTTACTGTTACAACTTCAGTGTTACATGGTGGGTGATTTTTTTTGTTTTTGTTTTTTTTTTTGAGTAGCAGTGAAAAGGGAAATTCATGTATTACTTTAGGCTACAAAGAATTCATACTTAAGAGAAAAAACATTTCAGGATATAGTAGATATTTAATACTTCTATATCTTTCCCATGTTTTATTTCTTTTATTTATAGGAAATGGGTAATTACAGTTTAACTCCTATAGGAAATTCACGGTATATAAGAGCTCATTTAAAATATTAGGGCTACTCCAAAAGTAATGCCTCCTATTTTATTATGTTGGCCCACAACATCAGAGGCAGATGTTGGTGGTATGGCAGTAGACATTGAACCTTTGCACTGGTATGCTGTTATGTTTTGTTGGCATGTGACAGACGGCAGCAGAGAGGCAAACTGACTGAACGGTGCCTGATACAGAAGTGCAGGTGAAGCAGAGGGGTGAAACTGAATTCCTTCATGTGGTAAAACAGCACCCGCTGACATTCATCAAAGTTTGCTGAATGTTTCTGGAGACCAACCTGTGGATGTGAGCGTGGTGAGGTGATGGGTGGTGCGTTTCAGCAGTGGTGACAGTAACATGAAAGTCAAACGACGTTCTGGATGGCCATGCAGGTATTTATGAGCATGGCATGCTGGCTCTATGCAGGTATCACTGGTAAAAATGCATAGATAACAGTGGTGATAGTTGAAAAATGTTTTGTGACTGAGAATGTGCTCTGTCAAGCAGTGTTATTGTGGTCTTTGTATCTTTTGTAGTTTCCATGTAAATAAATAGGAGACGTTACTTTCAGAGTGACCTACATCTATTCAAGCTTAGTTTGATACTTAACATTAAAGGTATATTTATTGAACTGATAACTAACATATATGCTTCCTTGTGTCATGAATAACTGTTTCAATTGTTTATAGTTAAGTGTTCTGCAATCTTCAGACTGATGTTTAGCCTGTAGAGTGTTATGAAGAATACATAGGGGATTCTTTTGGCGAGACCATATCTAGGGGTGTGGTTGTACTGAGAAGGTATTATGGAATGCTAGGTTAGAAGAAACATTAAAGATCTAGTTCCAACCCCCTTGCCATGGGCAGGTTTGTCACCCAGTAGATCAGGCTGCCCAGGATCCTATCCAGCGTGGCTCTGAATGCTCACAAGGATGGGGCATCCACAGCCCTCTGGACTGCCTCTGCCAGTGCCCAATCACCTCTGAGTAAAGAATTTCTGCCCAGCATCTAACAAATCTCTCCTCTTTTAGTTGAAAGCTGTTTCCTCTTGTCCTATTGCTGTTAGACCACGTAGAAAACCAGTCCTCCTCTGTTTATGAGCTTTCCTTGGGTACTGGAAAGCTGCAGTCTAAGCTGAAGAAGCCCAGCTCTACCTTTCTTCACAAGAGAGGTGCTTCAACCCTCTGATCATTTCTGTGGCTCTTTAGATCTACTTCAGCAGCTCCATATCCTTCTTGTTTTAAAGGCTGCAGACCTGGACACAGAGGCCTCATGAGGGCAGAACACAGGGAAGCAGTCCCCTTCCTTGCCCTGCTGCCACCCCTCCTTTGACACAGCCCAGGATACTGTCGGCTTCCAGACTGCAAGTGCACACTGCTGCCTCCTGCTGAGTTTTACCTCTGAGAGGACCCTCTAGTCTTCCTCCATAGGCTGCTCTCAATGGACTCTTATCCATCTGTCCACGTACCTGGGATTGCCCTGATCTGTGTGCAACACCTTGCACTTGGCCTTGTTGAACCTTATTACATTCTTGGGAGCCCACTATAAACGTGTAAAGAAGAAGAAAGTCTAATTGGGCATGTAACCTCAAGGAGAGGGAATCAGGGCAGATCTATGTGGCTTTCATTCTACCTGACTGACCCGTGAACAGTCCGAGGACCGTGGAAGAGATGTTCCACTGTCTTCAAACAAAATTAAACAATCTTGCTCTATTTAGTAATGTCAGCCTCCTGCCCTATGGCTGGCTTGATAGCATTTAATTCCTTACACTAACCTCGGAAATCATATGAAGTGTGGAAAAATACAGCAAGAAGGAAGTAAGGAGAATTAAATCACCTGTCAGAAGTTAATTGGTTTTAGGCCCTATGATTTTTTCTTTTTCATTGGCTGTAATAAAAGAAGCCTAAGATAAGGAGCTGTCATTCAGCATATGCTACCTTTTTTCTGATTCACTCTCTGGGAGGAATAGGGAAAGTATGGTAAGAATGAAAAGTAAAACTGAGGAAATATCCGGAGAAGAACAGAGACAAATTCTTCTAATTAGAGAAATAGCACTTAAATCTGTTTAAAATATGGATATGATGCTTAAAAAAATCAGATTCTTTATATCCACACAAGTGAGGAAACAGTCCTTTAAAACTTGTATTGGTATTTTGGGCTGGTGTACTGTACTTGTGTTTATACTGTGTTTAAAATGTTTCAGAGGGAAAAAAATCGAGCTTTCCCTGCTGTTTGTAATTTAGAACGCTAGAGGACAGCACTAAAATATTACATAAGTATTACAGTTTACACTGTTAATTATGTACACAGTGAAGGCTTGTGGGAAGAAGACAAATGACAGTTTTGAACAAGTGGTATTCTAAAATTCCTTTTCTCCTTTTGAAAAATGCATCTGGCTTCTTACATCATACAGAATATCCTAAGTTTCCTGAAGTTTAAGATATTTGCTGCAGTCTAAAGAAGTTAAGTTTTTAGGTTTTTTTAATGTAGTAATACAGTGAAATAGAACCTACTTTTCTATGATCTAGAGAGTAAGGATTTAGTTGGCTAATTTCTAAGTGTAGTTTCATGACTTGCACGCTCCTGTGAAATATACTAATATAAATTGCCATGTGAAAGACTGTAGTTCTTAAAAAAAAATTACAACTTGTGTTTCTCTAGGCACACTGGAACGGCATGAAACAGGTGAAATAGCAAAAGCAATCCTTTCTTCCATTGAAGATTCAGAACACTTAGTGGCGGATTCTCTACATCCTGTATCTCAGGACTCTAGAAGAAATAAGAATGTTCAATACAAATCCTCCAGTTCTTATAAGCGTGGTATGATGTCCTACAATCTTACTCAGACAGAAAAATCTTCAGATAAGGTAAGAATGAAAATTAATGTGTGAGCAAACAATTGTGATCCAAGCTTTTTAACTTTTTACCTTCCCTGTGTAGTCCTGCATCTGTGTTGTGTAGGCTTGATTTTAAGTTTGTAAAGCCTTGCTCCTATTTGTTCAGTACTATTACATAGAACAAATTGCTGAGCACAGTTTGAGCTTACAAACTTAGCTTAAGGCTGCATCTATGAGTCATACCCTCAGAGCTATTTTGTGTGCCAATTCAGGTGGATGCATCTTGGGAAAAGTCTCATGTGTCTTTTCTGCTCTTCTACAGAGGTAGATTTCATTTGTTGTCCAGTGGTAGCTTTTACTTGGTGTTTGTTTTGTTAACTATGGAGAAAGAGTGAAAGTGCCTTTCATTGATGTGGGTGCAATTAACTTGGCACTTTATTGCTTTAAAAAAAAAAGTTCATTGTGTGAGATATTGGGCCACAAATGTATATATCAGTCTTCAGGAGTGATCTGGCCAGGAAAAATACCTAACTTTGTCTCGCAATTTTTCACTGATGTCATTAAACTAAATAATTGTGACTGAGAAAAGTTGCACTCTTTGTTGTGTTTTGTTGTTGTTTTTAAGTGATAGATGGAAACGCCTTACTGTAACTACTACTAATGTACTATTAAATCTGAGGAAACTAATACAAAGATACTAGAAAATGAGAAATAAAGTTGAAAGTGCGATAGTAATTGTTTATTTATTGCTTAAATGTGTATATTTTTAATTGTTATTGTAGATATTTAAAAAGGCTGTATTTGCTCAATGTAAAACCAGATTTTAATACAACCTTGGTTTTGTTGCAATCTCAAATAAGATATGTATAACCCTTATTCAGACTGAGAGATGAAGGTTAACACCCTGTTTCTGACAACTAGTTTGTATATCAGGAATTAAGTATATTTAACTGAACTCTTGATACAAAAGGGTCTTAAGAATGGGGCTTCAATGTTGCTTGTTCAAACGTAGTCCTTCTTAGTTCCTAGTTTTTCAGGATGGCATTTCACTGCAATAAAATAGACGGAGCCATTGAATGTAGATCAAAAATACCTTCTCATAAACATAGGAAGATGAGAAATGCTTTACTTCGACTTAAATCTGGAAACAGCTTTCTGAATGGTCTCTGGCCTTTCCTTCTTTAAATAGCGTTAAACAAAATACTGGATTTTCCAAAAATCAGTTTGATAAGGGGTAGTTTAATCCAAGTCCTTATTATAAACTTTCTCTTCTGGTCTTTTTCCTAATTGTCCTTACAATTTAAATATGCCTTTGAGTTTATAATTGTTCAACTCTTTATATTTCTCTTTGACCTTTTACTAATCTTAGTCTGATTTCTAAAGTTCTTTTTGATCCCATTTTCTGAAAAGTCTTATTAAAGCATAATCCTGCTGAGCATGTTGTGGGGCAGATGGTGTGCTAGTTGGCCATTGACACAGAATCTGATCTCACTGTTACTTTAGTTAAAGGAATAATTTCTTCTAGCTTTTTCAAAAAGAAATAACAAAGTTATAATAGATGTCTTTGGAGCAGAGTTTTGGCTGTACATATTATATTTCAATTTTCAAATTGCTTGAGTTTAACAAAGTGTTTAAGAAAAAGAATGTGCTGTTCATGGAATGTGGGAAAGTAGTTTTTGGCAAATTGTGAAGTGAGGAGTTTAATGTACTTTGTGGATTACTGTGATTTTAAATTTGAAGTAATGTCACAAGAGGTGACAGAGTTGAAATAATTTATAGCACTCTTCTTGATCAGGCATGTGTCTTGACTGCTCTGATTCTGAAATGAAATATTCCATTTTCATCTTTCAACTTTGTTCATTAGTTATCTTGTCCTAATGAAAACTCCTTAGAGAATATTATTGATGGCTCTTAAACTTCCCTGATTGACAACATACTTTTTTTTTCTTTCACCTTCTCTTTTTTGTCCTTACAGTCATGTTAGTCTAATTCCCTAACAAATAAATGTCTGTACTTGGAGAAACAGCATTCATCAAACTCAGCCACTCGTTGCATCCAACATTTCATCTCACCTCCAACCCAGTTAGACCAGATTCTGTAGATTAGTGTGGGAGATGCTGGTGGCTAAATGTATAGGATGTAGTCAACTTGAGAAGAGAATAACAATTAAGTGAACAATGGAAGTCTGCATAATGTTATTCTAGAAACCTGGTATGGTCTGCACAAAGGGACCATGTGTCTTCTTATAGTTGAAGCTGTTTTGTTATGAAGTCCAAATCAAGGCTTTTTAAGACAAAAGGCGTTTTTTAAAGTTCTTGATATGGAAACTTTTTTCAGTTTTTTTCCCAGTCTTTTGTATTGACTCTTGAATCACAGCGTTTTAACATTTTTAAATATTTTCTCTGGTTTCATGAAGCTAGTGGAAGTTCCATGGATATAAGTGAGTTCAACACCTTCATACTATATTGTATACAATGTCCTCTCAGATTAAACTATCATGAAAATCTGAGATGCTTTAATATGCATGTACACAATCAATATTTCATTATCCATTTGCTTCTCTCACGAATTGTATAATAGGAAGTTAACGTGCTAAATTGATAATAACACTCCAATTTTATCAAAAACAAACAAATTTCACTTCAGCCTGCTTAAAAATTCAGTTTCAAAGACTTATGTAACAGAAAACGTTAGGATTCCATCTATTCAGTCAGGTCAGCATTATGTTTGTAAGAAATACTTTGTACAGTGATCCACATGAAGTTCATAGGCAAGATTAATATTTATTGCATTTTTTTTATCATTAATAATATATTTAAGACAAAAAACCCGTCTGCAAGACAATGGTCTCTTTCTTCCATCCTAAGAAAAATATCCTCACATAGCAGACCAGCTTCAAAGGCTTTCTTTCAAAAACATTTGTCATCATGTGAATCACAGATACAAAGGCAGAATGCTTTGATTTCATGGTGTTTTGACCATTTTAATTCTCTTATTGTGCTGCACGTGCCAGTGGGAGTACCAATAACAGATGAGTGTGACAAATGCAGTTAAGGCAAGATCCATGTTAGTATTGTCAAATACCCTAGATATATTTAAACAGATTTTAATTATTTTCAATGTCAAAAGACCCGAAATATATAGTTTAATAGTTCTTCAAGAAAGCTGTACTTAGTATGTGAATGTAAAAATCTCTCATAAAAATGAAACTTTTATATTGGCCTTAGTCATTGACATAGGGTATTCATCAAGTCAGCAATTTGTGTGGCAAAGTGCCATTTGAATAGTGTATTGTTAGACTACTTATGGTCCACTTGACAAGGGTTCTTGCTGTAAATAGTGCAATTTGACTCCAGCTGTTAAAGAGTGGCTTTGACAGCAGCCAAATAGAATGGAGATGCTTTACTGCACCGCAGAAAAATCAATATTGGGTTCTTGTTCATAGTAACCTGTTTTTTCTTTTTTTGCAGATTTATAGAAGACTATCTAGAATTCATTTTTGGAAGTTTAAATATTATTTTAAGAGTCTGTTGTGATTTCAAATTAACATTAGTGATAAACAATGAGCAAAAAAAAAAAAAAAAAAGAGAAAATACTTTGTGGATTTATGCATGCAATGTGGTAACAGTGTTATTTTAACTCCAGCTTATATGGATAGATATTAGGATGTTGATGCATAAGTTATGTAACTAATGAGAAAGAGAGTCTTTCCTTCTTTGTATTACTTTTAATGATCCTACCGTATCCCTATCATTTTTCTGTTGTTTTTCTTTGTTGTTGTTGTTGCTTTTTGTTGGTTTTTTAAAGGATTTCTTTTTTGTTCATTCTGTAACAACCCCCACAGATGTTGACAATCTGTAGTGCCATTGTAGATTTTCCTGAAGTGTAGTCTTGCTGGTGCTGAACAGTTTTCCAGTAGTATTCAATGACATAAGGTTGCTATGATACCTGGCCAGTAGCAATAGGTATTGAATCTCTGGTCTTAATTACAATAGACTACATACTAGATTGTGTGCTTTGGTGTTTGTATGGAACTAGCAGTCATTATACCTTTAAATCAGTTATTCTTGAAAATGAAACTGAGTATTTAAAAAAAAGCATTTTTTTTTAATGCCTTGCTTTATGTGAATCAATTGAATCTTCACATAAAAATTGAATGGAATCCATTTTCCTGATGTTTCACAAACATTTCACATTAGAAAATTTTCCAGCCTTGCAGCTGGAGTAATTTGGATATAAATCTGTTATCATGCATTGCTATTTTTACTGCGTGGTTAAATAACGTAATTAGAGCTTCCTTTATGTAAAGATATAGGAAGAAGAGAGGCTTCTACAATTTGAGCAATCACTGCTAAATCAAATTCCATTGAAATCCTCGATCTGCTGAATTATACTACTGAAGAGCTAGATTAGAAAAAAATAATTTTTACGATCATTTACTCATGTGAGATGAGAAAGATAATGAAAGGGGAAAAATACATTTTTGTAGGAAAATTTATAGAAAATTTACAGCTTGATATATTTCACTTGACATTTCCTTAAAATACGAGTCTTTGGGCACATAGCCATTAGAGAATGGTGCAGAAAGTCAAAATTTCTTAAGTGTCAATACAAGATCCATAAGAAGTCATTGGGCTTATGCAGCTGTTAGAAGTAAATATAACTGGAGTAAAGTACCAGTTACTATAACAATACTAAAACGCATTTTAAATTTGTTGACATACCTAATATTTGTTCTGAAGAGCTTCCCATTCACTTATGTGATAGCATATATATTCTGTTTTAAACAAAATATGTGTAAGCAGGATGCCTATGAAACAAAAGTATTTCCTCAGTAGGAAGTTAGTATTTTTATAGAATTTCTTAAATCAATATGCAATAGAATGTACAGAAGTGATAAATAATAAACTACTTTATGTTGCCTAGAATAAGCAAGACATGAGTGGACTGAAACAATAGCAGTCATTTGTTTTAGTAAGTTATTAGTTGCAATTTAATAATTATTGGGAAACTGGAAAAATCACTACAAG